ATTAAATTTTCATAACATTTAAATACAATTTTAATATATTTAAATATTTAAAAATATTACTACAAAACTATGTTTAATTAATTAAATTATTTATTTTAAATATATAACCTAGTAATAAAGTTTCATATTATGTACAAAGAACAATGGGTCATAATTATTTTACATTATATCAAATTATATATATATATAAAAAAAAAAAAAAAAAAAAAAAAATGTAACCTCATATACATACTAAAACTTGAATTAATACATAAAGTTTACTAATTCTGAAAATGACTTAGATATTTTGTAGTCATTTCTTATTATTTAATATCTAAATTAAAAAGTTTAAAATTGTAATTAATATACTTTGATAGGAAAAAAATTTTTTACTTAAATGAGTAATATCCTTCTGTTATAAAAAATAATATAGTTTAAATTAAAAACTAACAATGAAAATATTTTAAAATTTTAAAGTTATAATTTTAAAATTTTAAAATTATTAAAATTGTAGTAAAATAAAAATGAATCTAAATGTTAAAAAAAAAAACTTTATTAATTAGGTTATACATATTTGAAATAAATAAATTAATTAATTAATAAATAAATAAAGTTTACTAAATCTGAGAAATGACTTAGCTAGTTTTGTAGTAAGTCTATTACTTAAATAATATTTAAATTTAAAGAGAAGAAAAAAAAAAAAAAAAAAAAAAAAAAAAATAAATGAATAAATAAATAAATAAATAAACATATACTTTGATATGGAAAAAAATCTTATTAATATGAGTAATTTTCCTTCTGTTATAAAGTAATATAGTCTATTAAAACTAAACAATGAAAATATTTTAAAATTTTAAAGTTTTTTAATTTTAAATTAAAATTGTAGTTAAATTGAATGAATTCTAACCTAAATTTCTTTTAATAATACTACACGCATTAAAAAGAATCCAAAAATTATGAAATTTTTTTGAATGATATGTCCTCAGTACTTTCTAAAAATATTATAATAATAGGTTTATATATAAAAAGAAAAGTTTACTGAATCAGTGAAATTAAACCATTTCTGCTTTTTCATATACAAAAAAAAAAAAAAAAAAAATGTAACCTCATATACATACTTAAACTTAATGTTAAAATAATCCTACATAATATAATGGATTCTAATACATTTAACTGTTCTTAAAAATATAGTAAAATTTCGGGTCGTAGTTAAATAAAAGTATAAAAAAAATCTTTAATTTTAAAGATGACGTTGAAAATTTTTTACTTAACAATTTTTTTTTTTTTTTTTTTTTTTTTTTAAAAGACGACATCCATTCAACCGACGTCAGGTTTCAGTGAAAATACATCCTCACCCCTTACCAAAATGTAGCTAATAATTACAATGATACTGTCATAAGGAAAATCTAGACACCCCGTGTTCAATTTGAGTAGAATATTCTGTAACCATGGAAACGTGATTTTAGCTGTGTATTTAAAACCCGGTAAATTTTAAAAGTTACTCCAAAATTCGCTTGAAGATGAAATAGAACTAATGCTTTTAATTTATTTGCAAAATAAAATTAGGGTTTTTAGCTTCTATTTTTTGAAACATGGTTTTGTTTTAAAATTTTTTTAAGGTATGCATATTTATGGGTTAGAGCATATGTAAATATAAAAGTGGACATTGAAGTCAACACCCAGATGCAAAAGTCTGTTTCATGCTAAACACAATCGTTAGGCCATATGTGCTGTGTTTTTGCTTGATTTTTTTTTATATATAAGGTCAGTGATGCATTGTCTATTGTATTGTTTTAATGGTTATTTTGGTGGCTGTGGTTTGTTAATTTTTTTTTATTTACTTATTTATTTGTTTGGATCAATTTATTTTACTTGTTTCTATTTTTTATTTTATTTATTTTCATTTATTCTTGCTTGTTTTCAGTTTTCGATTTTAAGTTGCATAGTAAAAAATTTTTTTCATGTCTGCATTTTGAAATGAATTCTGATTGTTTATTTAGTAGATTGTTTTGGTCCTGGAAGGTAATTATGGTTATTTTTTCTCCAAGTAGAGTTTACAGTTTTTGGATTGATTGTTTCGGGGCTGATGTTCTTTTCCTTAGTTTCCATAATATTTTTGGTGTGATTTGTTTCCAATCTCCCATATATGTTTAAAAAAACATTGTGCTGTTTGTGTATTTACTATTTGTAAACAATGTTTTGTGTATAGTTTCTTTGTTTTCAGGGTTTTCGTTACTCCTATGTATATTTTTAGGAGATCACTGTTCTGCCAACCATCTGCACAAGCTCATTGCGTAGGTTATTCACTGTGTGCATTCACTTTGTCCTGTGAGTGTCAAATTCTCTAAGCCCTCTTTCCTCATTATATGCCTTAGAAATTTCATTTGTTTCTTTCTGATTCTAAGTGTGAGTTTCCTTTTTGTTTCTATTTCCCTAAAACTTTGTCATTGCTCACATGTTCAGTTCATGTTATTCTCAGCATCCTTCTGTAGAACTACATTTCTGTTGCCTGAAGTCTCTTCTTCATCTGTGAACAGATTGTCCAGTATTCCCTGCTATATAGGAGGACCAATATTATATAACAGTCCAGTACTCTTTTCTTTGTTTCTAATGAAAATTTCATGTTTCTTAATACTTTGCTTAGCTTTTGGATGGCATCTTGTGCTATCCCAATGTGACTTCAAATTTCAATTTTTCACTCTCTGTTAAATATTTAAATTTTTGAACTTGCTTGATTTTGGTGTCTCCAAAATGAATTAAACTTAATAAATAAATATGCAGAAGTGGGCATGGTGGAGTAATGGATAACAGCTCTGACTGAGGCATCAAAGAGCCGTGTTTGAATTCCAGTCAAATCAGTTACATTCACTTGCATGCTAATACCCTTGGGAAAGGTATGAATCCTCTTCTTCTCCCCCAGCTATAGGTAAATAGTATGACAGGCCGGGTTCTATAGCCTTGGATGATCTACCGCAGAAAGAAATGGCTACCGACTGTGGGAAAAAATCTGCCTCGTTAGTCATATATCGAAAGACACATGATCGCCTAAGTTTGTATCACACATGGCACATAACTGACTGACATAAGTATGTGAGTGAGAGACAGAGACTGGCTAGATAACGATAAAGTTCCGGGCGTAATTATTTACAAGGGACTATTTTAGTTTTGCACCGGCGCTTACATTACCCAGCAGGCGAACTTCAAGAAACAATATTTCACTGATCTTACGAATTTGTTGACTTTTAGTTTTAAATATATGAATTTATTTACTACTGTGCATTTTCTCTCTAAAAGAAAGAAAGAACAAAAAAACAAAAACCTTTGACTTTAGCAACCTTCTTTATTAGAAATTAATTTTCTTTTCATAATAAGTGAAGAAGAGAAAGAAAAAAAAACTTTTTGTTTTGTTTTCTTAAGAAAAAGAAAATTCCCTGAAAAAGAAATAAGGTAAGTTTTATTAATGAAGTAACTACTAAAATTAATATTTCAAACTTGCTAAAAACAACAACAAAAAAAAACCTATGTCTTCTCTTTTGAAATACGACAGAGGAAAAAGAAATTAAAAAAAAAAATAATAATTAAGTGAAAAAAGAAAAAAAAGAAACAGCAAACTAAAATGATATTTTCTTTTTTTTGTTTCCTTTTCCCAGAATCAATTTTTTATGATGACAAAGAAAAGCGTTTATTTGTCAAAATAACTTCTTTTTTTTTTGTATACATTCAATTTTATTTTTATCTAAATTTATTTTTCATGTGAAAAACTAACACTAAAAAAAATGGAAGAAAAATGAAAAGTTTTCGATTTACTTGGGTGCTGTTTTGTTGTTTAATTTTTTAAATTAAAATACTTCCTAAGTCCTATGGCCAAAAATGAATCGTCGCTCTCATACTTTCGCACCCCTCTCCGCGACAACACATAAAGTTTCATGGCAATTTGATGCCAAAAGTTGAAAAAAAGGGCGAATCACCAAACCTTTGAGCCCACATAAATTTTGCCAGGTATTCAGAAATCACCCCCTGTTTGTGGGGGGCCATTCATGATCTTAAATTTACTCTAGGCACGCTGCGCATTGCTTCAACTCAATTCGTGGTGACTCCAGTATTGGGATCCACAAACTTCTGAGTGTGGTTGACAGTGTCAGGGTTGAACCCATTGTTTATGAAACCATTGTATGACGGGGTGCGAATTTGTAATAGCGCCAATGAATTTTTTGAAATCAAAAATCTTTCTTGAAGATTTTATTTTAGGTTTTTTAATCTCAAGCTTAATAAATGTCTAATAAGCAAAAAGATCAACAAAACAATTGATTGGAATGTGACTTTTTTGTTTTTTTAATCACTACAAAAAAAAAAAAAATGGCTGATTTAGCCATATACGCACATTTCCTGTGTTAAAACCTGTTTAACTTACAAATGAAAGTTTAAATTTAGCATTTTAATAATAATCCAATCACAACCTTCTATACAATGATAGAAAAAAAGGAAATAAGGAATTTGTGCAAGCAAAAGTTTTTTGGGATTTTTTTAAGCATATCAGCCAGTGGCGAAGGACGACCTGGATTCGGGGCATGTAGTCGTGAATATTTGTTATATACGGTCTACCATAATATTTCTGATCCCTGTCATCAAGTGACAAGGAACTTATTTAAACATTTTTTTTTTTAAATTAAATTAAAAATGTCTACGTCTCGTTAAAACAGAAACTCTTAATTTGATAAATTGTGAACAAAATTAAACCAAAATTACTTTTTTTTTAAAAAAAAAAAAAAGTAGTGAAAAACAACTTTTTTTTTTTTTTTTCCGAGGTGGGGTCTCATTTTCTTAAGCAGCTGTTGAAGTTGCAAATAGCTTGTAGAGTTATTGGCAAACACATTAAGTGACAAAATATTATGGTAGGCCATATATGACAAATTATTTGCGACTACATGCCCTGGATCCAAGTCACCCTTCACCACTGATACCATAACCTTCAGCCTCCACCCCTACATCTTTTGCTGAACCTCAGAATTGAACAGGGCTTACAGCCACATCATGTTCAAACACTGGTTCCCATATGAACACTGAAGTTAAGCAACATCGAGTATGGTCAGAACCTAGATAGGTGACCACTTGGAAATACCAGGTACTGTAAGCTTGGATGTGTGGGTGCTGCAGTGAATAATAGCCTAGAATTGTTTATTAAAGAGCCAAGTTTCAATTCCCAATGGCTTCATTATATTCACTTATATGAGTATACTAGCAGTAGAGCCCAGCGTTGCAACAGTAAGAGATAGATCAAGTATCGACCATCATAAAGACTGAAAAATAAAATTGACAAAGATTATTGTTTAAGGTTGACGGACACGCATGTCTTAATTAGTTTTTTTTTTTTTTTTTTTTTTCACAAATTGGTCAAACCCAAACTCAAACAAAACATTGTTTTTCAATCGTTATGAGTCTACCGATTGAATAGAATTTTATTATAAAAATTGTCTTGTAAATGGAATTTTTAAAGCATTCTGAATGTAAAAATAAAAAAAAAAATTGTGCAAGACAATAAAAACACTACCTGCCAAAAAAAGTGAAGTTTTGTTAAAATTGGTTGAAAAATGTAGGAAATCCGATCCCATATATAAACGAACACACACACACACACAAACAACCTGGGTTTTATAATAGGTATAACTCGATATGAGTTGTCCCCCTTCCATTCTGGCGACAATGATGCCTCTTAATCGTGTTTTCAAATTGATTTCGTGCAAAAACAATTGTGTTTTTCCAATTTTTGGTGCTGTCGGAACCACCACAAGGTAATTTTATGTAGTCCTGTGAAGACACACACACACACACACACACACAACCTGGGTTTTATAATAAGTATGATTACTCTCAGGAAGGTATGAATTCACCTCTTCTATCCCCAGCTATGGGTTAATAAGTCTTAAATCATTATTAACTCAAAAAAAATGACAATTCATATAATCTGAAAATATTTTCTGGCTTTAAATAAACCTGCAAAGGGTTGATAAACCATAGAAAATGAATCAATCAGAATTGAACAGACTAAGATTCGTCTTTTCTTCCTCAATCTATGACAATGCTATTGAGCTGAGCCATATCATATCATTTGACTGAAATCATTCTTCTTCTATGTGAAATGCACCTTCAGGGCATTGGCAATCATGGCTCTCCATTATTTAAACAACTTTTCATGCACAAATAAAGTAGACACTTTCGTATTTAATTCTCATTTCATAACCACTTTGTGATATTTGTCTCCCCCCAGGTCATGCCAGAATTGACTTTCTTGGGTGTAAAGTCTCCCTCGGGAGCCACGTGCAGGGTCAACCTCAGTGGTGGTCTCCAAATAGAGAGACAAATGATTGGTACAGCTGCAGCTGAAATGCATGCATGGGAAAGATCTCTATCACCGATAATCAACCTAGAGAGAAGGGCGGTCTCTAATACATCACACTTGAGAATGTAAGATCCACCCTTCAGGCAAGGGGACCAGTACTGCTCTCACACACTAGCCAACAATTATTGTCAAAGTATGGAGTCAAATAAAATATAGCAATCTTGGACCTTTGTGAACACAAATAAAATAGTGTCAAAATGACAGTTTTTCACTACTCAGCAATGTTTATTGTTTTAAAAAAACAAAATAAGAAGGGAATGAAGGTGGTTCACTACAGTGTGTGTGGCATGGTGGGTCTTAACCATGAAGATTAGAACAGGTAAAACTAAGGAATGTAGTTCATCTAAACACTTTCCATGAAAATAGCAATAAAGCAGTGAGAGGCTTATGACATTTCGTCTGTGGGAAAAGGGGTTGTAGGGGGGAAAATAATTCATCACTTGCAAGAACATGGAGATAATTTGGACAACTCTATCGAGACTGGAAAATGAAAACTGGGCAGTTCCTGCCCATATATAGCAGCAGTACCCCATTTTACGTCTGATCTGGCTCTTGTAAATGGTAAAGATAGCAACATTTCATCTGTGGAGAAAGAGATTGTAGGTTGGAAAGTAATTCATCACCCACAAGGATGCAGAGATGCTTTTGAACCCTATCAAGACTGAGCAGCTCCTGCCCATATATGTCTGCAGTACTCTATTCAGTTTGATTTGATTCTTGCAAAAGTAAAGGACAGCAGGAAGAGTCGGGTACTTACTGGAGCAGTACCATGAAACAAGCATTTTTCCAGTATCTTTACCAACTGATCATATGTGCAAGTTCCACTTGAGGTCTGAGTTGAGTTTCAGTCCCAGTAGGTGTTCAAGGTATGGGGCCTCCCTGAGAGAACTCCTGTTCATTACAATAGGTGAAAATTCAAGGTCTGGTGAAGATGGAATGTCACTAGCTTGGTTTACTTAATTTGGGAATTGATAAATATTGGATGTTTATATTTAAGTTAATAAATATTTTCTTGGTTTGATGATATATTGGTCAATTGAGACTGTAAGCATTTACTTGGTTTTGGAGGAAAGAAGCATTGGCTGTTCATATAAGCATTTATTGTTTTATTTGAGTCTGTAAGCATTTATTTGGTTTGGGGGAATATGTAAATATTGATTGTGTATATTTGAGTCTAAGCATTTACTTGCTTTGGGAATATAAATATTGATTGTTTATATTTGTGTCTGTAAGCATTCACTTGGTTTGAGAATATGTAAATATTGTTTATATTTGAATCTATATTTTATAAAAGGCCTCTTTTAGCGGAGAGTCTTACTCTGAAGGTGATGCAGTCATATATTATCTGCTTACCAGGACTGTGCACAAAAGGTGTGGAGTATGTACTGTGCTTAACCCAGATCATGTCAGAATAGACCTTGTACTTCAGAATGTTCTATGAGAAAGCATAGTGGAGTAATGGTTTGGTTTGGTTTGTTTTATGGCATATCAACCTCAGTGGGTCATTTAATGCCAACAAAATTTTGAAATAGATTCATAGTGATGGTTTGGTTTGGTTTGTTTTAACGGCATATCAATCTCAATGGGTTATTTAGTGCTGACAAAATTTTTGTTTCTGGTAATATTTTTTTCCTTCAAAAATGTATTGCTGGCAATAATTTTTTTACAAAAAGTATTTCTGGTATTAAAATCTATTTTTACACTTTCATAGTGTTTTGTCCCTAGTTGAGGGTTAACTATTTGCCCATAGCTGGGACCGTAACAGGTGCTACCACCCCGGGTCAGGGTGGACTTGGGAACACCAGCAATTAACATTTGGAGTAACAAAGAAATAATGTTGGATAAAAAATCCATTCGGTTATCTCATTTTGAAACATCAGTTCTTGTTCGATCACTAAAACTAAGCAATGTTGAGCCTGGTCAGTACCAAGATAAATGGCTGCTTGGGAATACCAGGTGCTTGGATGTGTGGGTAGTTTAACTGATAATGGCTCAGAATTAGAAATCATAGAATCAAGTTTCAATCTTAGTAAGGTTTGTTATATCCACTTATGTGCAAATACCCTTGAGAAAGAGTCAGTGTGAATTCCATGATCCTTTTGTTAACTGTGTAGCATGTGATTTGCCAGGGCTACATACGGTTTTGAATTCAGAGTTTTCCTCCTAGACCAGTTGCCACCCAAGGCTATAAAACCCAGTCTGTCCTGCTATTTTTATCCATAGCTACTCCCCCAACTATGGGTTAATTAGTAGGACCTTTATCAGTAAATGATTATTATTTCCCAAAAATTCTTACATTGTTCCTGTTTTAAATAGATTACATGCAATGAATAAGCATACCACATTTTGTTCAGTGGGTGTTTAAAATAAAATATTGATTTTATTTGATTTTTATGACATTTGCAGGTTATTTAAAGCCAGAAGATAATTTTGGATTGTCTGAAATGTATCCAGTAATAGCGGTGTCAAAGGAATAACTGTCCTTTTGACACAGAGTTTTTCTTTTGCAGGTACAAAGGTTAAACATTGCTGACTTGGTTTTCTCCATCTGCACAATTTTATATTTGGTGGATGAGGAATAAATTATACTTAAAAAACGTTTAGTATTGCAAAAAATTAGTGCTTTTTATCAAGTGAATTTTTAGCTTTCTATAGACTGTATTATTTCTTGAAAAAGTTCCAATGTTACAGCAATTGGTTGTTTCTATCATGTAGAAAAATTTGAGGTTTAATGTGTCTTCAGATTGTTAATTCTGTTGCTTTTCATTTACAGCTTGTCCAGAATGGAGCAGAGGCTATAAATATGTCTGCAACATTTTCATAACTATCAAATCAAAAGCCTTCAAATATTCTTTCAAAGATAATGCAGCTTTCATCAGAAGATGTTATGCCTGACAAGGAGAAAAAACCATTCGTTTGTGAAATCTGTAAACTGGCTCTTCCCTCCTCTTTGGAGATGGAAATTCACATGGAAGTTCATGGGAACAAGAAAAGCGTTTCTTGTGAAGTTTGTGGCGCAGCAGTTTCAAATGAGTCTTGTATAAAACATATGCAAATACACTCTGGTGAGATATCATACACTTGCGAAGTGTGTGGCGCAGCATTTTTAAAGCATGAACATTTGAAAAGCCACATGCAAACACATACTGAGAAGAGAGCATTTTCTTGTGAGGTTTGTGGATCTAGATTTTCACATAGTTCAAACTTGAAAAGACATATACGGGCACATACTGCGGAGAAACCGTACACTTGTGAAATCTGTGATTCTGCTTTCACTTTCAGTTCCAAATTAAAGGAACATATGTTAACACACACAGGAGAGAAGCCATTTTGTTGTGAAATTTGTTCTGCTAAGTTTTCATCAAAGTCCAATTTAAAACAGCACATGCGAACACATACGGGAGAAAAACCATATTCTTGTGAATTTTGTGGATCTGAATTTACACTGAGTACACATTTAAAACGGCATATGCATATACACACCAGAGAGAAGCCCTTTTCTTGTGAAGTTTGTGGATCAGCATTTTCCCGCAGTTCAGATCTAAAACTTCATATTAGAACTCACACTGGAGAGAAAATATTCTTTTGTGATGTTTGTGGAGCAGCATTTTCAACTAATGCACATTTGAAACGGCACATGCAGACACACACAGGAGGAAAGACATTTCCTTGTGAACTTTGTAGTGCTGAACTTTCGTGTAAACAAACACTGAAGCAACATATGCTTCGACATGC